TTCAGCAGGTTCTGACCAGTTCTGGAGAACCGATAGTGGAAATTTTGAGTAGTTCGGAGAACCGGCAAATACCACCTCTGACTGGAGATTTTACAGTATCCTTCGCCTGCCATGCCCACTAAGCCATGCCCACAGAACCGGTAGTAAAAAATTTGAATCCCACCACTAATGCAGTTGGTTCAAAAGGTACTGGGACAGGCAATTGTGAGCACTCTTTAACCTACAGATACCACACTTCTACTCCACAATTGGTTGACAGTATGCTTCCAGGTTCAATTCAAAATGTTTATAGTTACCAATAAAGCCCTTCATATTGCATGCATCTAGGTTATTTGAGGAACTGCCTCTCTCCAATTTATTCTCATCAGATTCAGCAGGAGAGGAGGGCTAGTGGTTGGCTTCTAATTAAAGAGTTTGTGAGGACCCACCAAAAGATCCACTTTGGTGATGGCACCTGCTCCTTAGAACATCAGCCCCTCTGGAGATTGGATTATCCCTGACCTTGTTGGTCTTTCATAAGGCTTTAAAGCCATGGCTGTATCATCAATCATGGGCTTGGTAAATGTTGCAGTGCCCATAAGATGGTTATGTTGATGGGCAGTTGTGGTTTTACCTCAGCTGCCAGTTATGAACTAATTGCTGTGGTCTTTATTATGTTGAATGTTAAACAATCTAAAAATGGTTTAATCACTGTTGACTTCATAATGATATGGAAAGCAAAATAAAATAAATAAAATTATAATTTAATAAAGTAACAATAAAATAATACATAAAATAAAATAGAAAACAATCTGGGAATGAGTTCAAGCAGTCATACTGAGCATTCTGATTGATTTGGCTGCCTCTATATTTCAAGAAGATATGTGTCCTTTCCAAAGCTTTTAACTGTTTTGCACTGTTATATTACTTTATTGATTTTTCCATGTGAAGATTATATAGAATTACCTTTAGATCACAGCTATTTTCTGTTTCGAATCAAACAAACATAGTTTATACCTTTTTGTTCTGTGTTTTTACCTGTGCCTGGCTTTTTAAAAGAAACAGATTATTGATATATTAAACACGTATTTTTCTACTCATTTTTCCCCCTGCCGAACTGAATGTAAAAGAAACCAAGAAAAAGCCATCATTGTCATGTTAAATTGTTGCTTCGTCCACAAGCTAGATGAATGTACAAAAGGCAACTGATAAATATTAATAAATGTCAAGTCTAAAATGGAACTTGTTTTAAAATGTCAAAAGCAATCCCTGTGAAGAGAATTGGTAGTTATTTTCTTTCATTATTTTAACATTAGCTAACAGTGGTCAAGTGCATGTGAAAATCTATAACCATGCAGGAAAAGAACACAACTTTGTATGTACAGATATCATATAATTAACACATACAAGATGACATTAATGGCCTTTAATTATTCTTGCAAGACTTATAAGTATGCACTTTTGCAGGTGCAAAAGTAGTAATTAGGAAGATAAGTAATACAAGCTGTTGGATGTGAAATTAATATGTATATTTTGATTGAATAAGCACAAATTTGGCATATTCCCTAAGGAGCTGATGTTCTGAAAACATTTCTTCAGAATTCTAACATCAATGTATCTTAATTGTTAGGGATTTGGGGGAACCTAAATCATTAAAATTCCATTGACATGTGGTGGAGCAAAAGGAAGCTATAATTCCACAAGAGTGATAAATATGAACTGGGAACTGGCTTCATTAGTGCCAGTAAAAAACATTCATCAGTTTCCAAGAGGACTAAGTTAGAGAAAGGCATTGCATTTTAAATCATACTGATGTTCATTCCAATGAAATAACTATTATTTAGTGGAATAAGTGGGATTATTTACTGGACCAAATTAGATACTTAATTATGCTGATAAACTGTTTCCAATTTCTGTAGTTCAGCTTGTACTTAAAAACAGAAATAATATCAAATGCATTCCATTGGGCTTGATTTAAACTGAATTTATTCTTCTGGGTTTTTTTTTGTATTTCGAAAAAACGCTGGTATAGACACCTGTAGCTTCTTTCCGTTCCCTTTTTCCATCTTGAAAGATAGAAGAATGAAAACTGCAGGAAGAGCTGGGGATAACAGAGGCTTGATCCTTACATTTCTTTATAGCACTTGATTTTCCATGACTTTTGGAAATGTCCTTGTCACTGGAAGTGTGAGAGTCGAGATATCAATTGTGCAAATCAATCACGCCCAACTTAATCTATTTTTTTTGCAGTACATTTTTTATTTTTTTCTTTCTTCTACAAACATAACCCAACTTAATCTATTGATGTAAGATAATTTAAAGTATACAATTCCCATGAAGCTATGATAATGTATAGCTGACACTTGTGCTATCATGAGAATTCTTCAAAGCTGCAGCTCATCCAAATTTTAGTAGTGATGTGGGCTGAATTTATATAATGTATCTTTACATTTGGAGTAGGCTGGGATGGGGTGTGCTGGAAGGTCAATTGCAAAATGTATAGTCCTACTTACAAGTCCTTTTACACCTCTATTCATACCACAGCTGAGTATGACTGTAGGAGATGACCAGGCTGAGCCCAAGGGAGGGGTCAAACATGTCATCAGTCTCAAGTCATTTTGTACCCACAAAAGATCTAAGTTCAGGTTTCCGGTTTGTCGGCTTCGCGAGCGGTAGGGATTCGCGAAGCTGCGCGATCCCTGCCGCGCTAGCCGTTTTGGGGCTCCGATCCGGACGGGTGCGGAGCAAGGCTGCCCTGCAGGGGTAGCTGAAGGTAAGGGGGATCCGGAGGAAGGGTCTGGGGGTGTTGCAGACCCCCTCCCTGGCCGGCAGAACCCCCTTTTACCAGGACGGTGCAGCGGCAGTCCGTAATGGCCGCCACAAAGAAGTCGGCAGCCGGGCAAGTATGCGCAGGAGGAAGAAGGGAAAGTTATTAAAAGTGAAAGTTATTCTTGGTCGACCCAGGGCTTTGAGATTCATCTAATTTAATTCCTGGAAAAGATGGTTTTTTGATGATTTTTTCCACAAGAGAAAAAAAGCGGCAATTTTTGAGGTGCTGAAAGGAAAGTTTACTCTCCCTCCCGACGGAATTAAGCCGGAAGGGAGAGGACAAAGAAAATATATAAATCTGGATCTTGTTGGAGGAGATGCCTTAAAGACTTGAGGACAGAAACATAATTTTAAAAAGGCTTTAAAATACACATTTGGACTCTCTTTTTTTTTTGTTTGATACCACCCCTGGAAGAGGAAGGGGAAATTTGGCTTGCTTGGATTTATTGAGGATTGTGGACTTTGGGATTGTTTTACCTTTCTCTCTGAATATCTGGTTGGTGTAAGAAGAAAGAGGAATAAAGAAAAGTAAAGATTTATTTATAATGGCTTTTCCTTCTGAGGACCTGAGGGATGAATATGACCAAACAAAAGCAGCCTGTAAAGATGGTATGGAAAAAACTTTTCTATTTCTAGAAATGGCGCTGGTTAATTACCAACAGACAATGAAACAGATGGAAACAGAAGAACAACAACAAGAAAAAGACGAAGACGCCATCTTTATTGAATTTCAAAACTTATCTAAGAAAGAAGGAAGGAAGAGAGCAAGGAAAATGAAGGACTTAAGATCTAAAAAAAACATTTGAGAAAGAGGAAAATATGATGCAAAGTAAATATAATGATAGCAAACAAGAGAAAAAGGGAACACAACAGAGAAGGGATCCCAGCAAGGCAGAGGTTAGAAGAAGAAGGGGGGGGTAGGAAGATTTGGTGGGGGAAGAAAGAAAGGGGAAAGGCGGAGAAAAGCCTCAAAGTTTTAAAATTGGATGGGAGAAGAGGAATTTTTTTTAGGGACAAAGGATGAAATATAAACTTCTGTAAGAAAGATTCTGCTAGGTACAGAAGATGGTATTGTAACATTTATATTTGAAATAGTAAATTAGAATGGTTTAAGATTTAATAAGAAATTAAAATGTTGAAGTTTTTTAATAATGATTGATTTTTAAAATGTAATAAAATATTGAAGGAAAGGAGGATACAATGTATTTAAACATTTTTGGTGGATAGAATGTACCAAGCAGAACCGAATTGGGTATTTGTTATGTTGAATGTTAATTTTACTAACTAAGGGGGAGGATAGAAAGGCATCATACTCTGATTAGTGATTTCAGGAGAAATTCTTTTTATTATAAGAAGAGATAGAGGGATAATGAATGGGCAAAAGATATAAATATAATGATTTAATTAAGATGGATTAAATAAGATAGAATTGTGAAGAGTGAAATGCGCTGCCCATACAAAGAGAGGTAACTGGGGCCAAGGTACTTTACTAAAAGATTTTTTATATGTTTGTTTGTGTTTGTTTGTGTCTTATGAGAATACTGGGGAAATTTTTGTGGAAATACAGGAAAGATTTAAATATGTAATGATTTGTTTGTTGTTGAAATTAATAAAACTTGTTTTTTTTTAAAAAAAGATCTAAGTTCAGCCCACCTTAAATTCCACTGAATCTTATTTAACACCAATTTCCTTTGACTGTTAGTGGTTCAGATTTTTGTAGAGAGCATGAATATGCAACAGAGGTGGTATTCAGCAGGTTCTGACCAGTTCTGGAGAACTGGTAGCAGAAATTTGAGTAGTTCAGAGAACTGGCAAATACCACCTCTGACTGGAGATTTTACAGTATCTTTCCCTTGCCACGCCCACCAAGCCACACCCACCAAGCCACGCCCACAGAACCGGTAGTAAAAATTGTTGAATCCCACCACTGATATGCAATAAACCTTTATATTCATTTTAAACGGCCTGGACTTCCTGATTTCCCTGTGCTTGACCATGACCTCAGAATTGTTCTTAACAATTACAAAAATATTACTATTATCATAGTGTCCCTAACCAATAGGACATATTTTTCCAAGTACGTTGTTTTTATCCAGAAGAAATGTCCCAATAGGGCAGGATTGAAATACTTTCATGGCAAAAGATTAGCTACTTCATTCTTTACACTATGTCCCCAAATTAAAATCAAATACCTCTTCAAGAACATCAGCAAGTTTACTAAGGATCTCTTCAGGGAGGCTCTGGAATGTTGGAACACTGTAAAGGAAAGATGAAAGATCACGTGAGTTGATGTAATTTTTAATTTTTATGTCTTGAGAAAAGCTCCAGAGCAATAAAATCAAGCAAACCTGTAGAATATACAAGTCCATTTTAACACA